CCCCACTGCACTGTCCTTCTTCCAGGTAGCAGATGGAACAAAAATCCACTGAAAAAACCAAACCCAGAACAAAACAAAAAAAAGGAAAAATTATAATAAAAAAACCGAACAAAATAAAACTCAGGAAAATGTCCAAGTTGCCAGGCCAAGAAAGCTTATCGCATCAAAGGCTGGACAGGTGACTCAGAGCCAGTGCAGTTGTCAGGGCAGCACTGGGGAGGAATATCAGTGTAACTTCTCCAAGAGTCAGATTGCAGGAAAGGCTGATTTCATGGCAAYTGAACCAGCTCCTCCTCTCCACTGAGAGAAAAAACAAAGGGATGAGGACTTGCTCATCTAAACACAACAGGACACGTCAGAGGAACAAACCTGAGCAACTGTCATCATAATTTATAAAACAAGTTAAATCCATGGCAAAAATAAGCAAAACTTAGAACAGAGAGATCACAGAACCTGGCAGGAAAAGGCCCCAGCCTGCATGAATCATTATTTTCTAGAGGAAACCTCATATAATCCAAGCTAGCCTGTTTTAAAGCAAACCAAACCTTCCAAAAACTCCAGTTAATGGGTTTGGCAACGTTCTGTTTTTAATTCAGGTGTTTTGGTAAGATTAAAAAGCTGYCCACCTGGTACAGATTAATTTGATGTAGTTTACACCCCGCTTTTGGCATCCCCAACCCTCCCTGGGAGGGAAGGCAAAGGGGACCTGAGAGCATCACCTGGGGCTGAAGGAGGTGATTGGATTGCATTGCCATCTTGTGGAACAGGAGRAAAGCAGGGACAGGGAAAAGCTGCTCAGGCCCCTCTGTGCAGCCGGGTGCTGCTCTCCAGGACACAGCTCCTGCCCCACAACAGGATTTCCTGAGGTTGTTCCTTATTCTCCTCATTTAAAGGGCAGAGGGATGCACACAGGGAGGACATGGCCTGYTGCCCTCAGGCTGCTTGGAAGGGCATGGATACAGAATCATCTTTCACAAATAAAAGCTGCTTCTTTTTTTTTTCTTGTTTTCACTGTGACAAAGTCAGGATTTTCTGTGTCGCTTCCCCAGGAAACAAAAGCCGTTTTTCTCCATGCCTACAGAAGAACCACCAGAGTGACTGGGATATGACCAGGAGTAAAACCAGCAATGCCCAGGTCCCCTCCCCAGCTCAGGGTCAGCAGGACCTGAAGAATATTCCTGACCCCACACATGGCACAACTTGGATGGAGCCACTTCTGCATGGGTCACATCTGCCCACAGGGCTTCCAGCTGTGACCTGAGCTGCTAAAATCTACTTGGCTACTCCAGACACCAACACTTCAGGAAGTTCTTACCAAAGCCAAAGCCTGGCTGAACTATCCTTTCCAGAGAGCTGCCTACATGCATCTGTAGGGAAAATAACCAAACAAAAAAACCTACAAAAAACTCCAGGATGGGGGCAAAGTTACCCAAAAGCACCAAGCAAAAGTTGCCAGCCAGGCTGGGAGCAAGGGGAGTTCACTGCTCTGGTTCCCATCTCAAGGGATGCCTGGATGTGGCACTCAGGGCTGGGTGACAACATGTCTTGGGTTACAGTCAACAATGTACCCCAAAGTAGGTGTCCTATCACCATCTCCATGAGCTGTTATGATGGGTGCRGCAGCGCTCTTTACCTTCTGTGACTCAGCCCTGATAACACCCCCTGGAAAGCAGCAGCCATTCTGGGGAGCCATCTCTGCTCTTGGGACATCCAGGGCTCTGGGAATGACCCATGGAATTCCATCATCCCATTGGGAGATGCCCCACCCAGAGAGGAGGAACTGGACACCAGGAATGACCCTGGAATTCCATCATCCCATTGGGAGATACCCCACCCAGAGAGGAGGAACTGGACATTCCCACCTGGATATAAAGTGAGGCTTGGAACATCACGGGAGCACTTCCACTAGATTCCCAGAGAAGAGCTCAGGAGCCATCACTGGGCCTCCAGAATTTCCTACAGGATCTCCACTTCCACGGGACCACACCCCTCACCCCAACGGGCCTGCAGCCACATCTAACCAGGCTGCTCCCACCACCCTGACCAGCAGGGTGGCAGATCACGTTCTGACTTTGTGTTCCTGTACTACTGCCTKTATTTTAATTTTCCTATTAAATTGCAGCCCTAACTTGGAATCTCTCACAAGTTCCTCCTCTGGAGGAGAAGGCACCCTAAAGGTGCCCAGACTGGGCAGAGAGGACAAACCAACCCAAGAGTGCCAGTGGTGAGACAGATAAGTGGGGATTGTGCACGCAGCCATTCCTGGAGCCCAGCTGATGCAGCAGCCCAGCGMTGCACTGATGATTTGTGTGACCATTCTGGTGAAAGCTCAATGCAAATGGCTGAGGTCTAAGAAACTTATATGCCTCAGCACCCCTCCTAATGGCCAGCACTCGCTGGGAAGGACAGAAACAATGCCAGGCAGYGTGCAAACATTGCTTGCGGGTGACTGATGATTTTCAACAATAATTTCATAAATGCAGCAGGCTGGAGTCTATCCCGTGGTTATTCTTCTGCTGCAATCCCTGGGAGTTCCCAGTGCCACCAGTGTGGGGCTGCCTTAGGCCACCAAGGGGGACAGGATGGCCTGCCTGGGCACGGCGAGGGCTGGYGCTGTCAGCAGCTCTCGGGCCAACGAGAAAAATGGCACTGAAAATAAGCTGTGAATGAGCCAAYCCACCCAGGACAACCTGGGGGTTTGTGCCAGGCTGAGGATGGGCAGAGAGGCAGAGGCTGCTCCTGTGGCAGGCAGGTAATGCCCAGGGCACAGCCCAAACCACAGCAGGCACTGGGAATAGCCCTCACAGCTGGAAATGAGGTTTGCATGCGAGGGAGATGTTGAAATATTGATTAAAGTTGGATTTCATCTGCAATACTTTGATTTTATGATTATACTGGCTGSTAACAAAGACACACCCATTAATGCATTACATTCCTGCTTGTAAAACAGAGATTATTCCATTATTCCAGCCAGCATGCTTCRCTTGTATCCACAGCCCGTGGCTCCAGCACAGGCACTCATCAGGAAAATAAAAAAGAAATTATCATTTCAAAAAGGGAAAAAAACATTAACAGCCACATGCTGGAACAGAATGGAACCTGGGTCCCAGTAAGGAAGGGGTGGGCAAGGGGCAAGGCTGAGCATTTCACCCTTGATTAAATCCACAGTAATGCACCAAAACCAGAGAGTTATTGAAGATTTTATCAATTTAAATACAAAAAAGCACTCTGACACAGCCCACTCACAGGTGCCAGTTTTCCTGCTGCTTGGCCTCATTCAAGGGATGATTGTACAAACAGGGAGGGTATTTCTCATCSCAACACACCAGTTCATTCCAGTGCCAGGGTGGGAAAGAGATGGGAAGGACACCATTGAAGCCTGTGCCCCCAGCATTATTGCCCTGGAGCTCAGGCCAGGGCAGGGGGAAGCCCTCTGAGAAAATGAGGTGTTTACTCATCCCCAAAYTAATGTGCAAACACAGGGGGACCTATGGGAGCAGAGGGAACAGCTCTGGGGCAGCGCTGCTCACCAAAKCCAAACGTTTCCAATGTGCAAAGGGTGAGAGAGGTCACCCCAAGGAATCCAGCCCAGCACCCTCCCAGCCTTCGCTTCTCCCACCCTCCTCCTCTGAAACCCCCCAGCCAGTCAGCATGGGCTTCCTGGGTTAAAGAGACAGCCTCATCACCCAGCAACACGGCTGGGGCTGCACTTCCACGAGGAACCAAAACACGGGGGAGAAATCCCTCCTGGATGCCGCAGGACCGACACCCTGCCCGCCCCCCATGCTGTCCTGGACTCATGCAGAAAACAAAGCCACAGGAATTAAAGGGGGACTCCAAAGGCACACAGGGATGCTCAGCATCGCTCAAGTGCTCTCGGTTTTAAATTAAATCCATCTTGCATCAACATTCAAGATCCAAAATGAAAGAGTCAGTCATGAACTCCGCAGTCACGCCTTTCATTCCATCTGCTGTTGGTATGAGACAAATGACTCTGACAAGTCAACTTTCACCTCCAGGAGAAGCCACAGGTTTTCATCAGCCTACATCAACCAAGCTTTCAAAAAGTTATCACTGATGGAGAACCAAATAAATCCCTGGAATTGTCAGTGCTGGAAAGATGCCTCATTGCCTGTCTAAGCTCGGGGGCTTCTGCGGCCAGAGCRTTACCCCACAGAATAAAATCTCTCCCCAGTCACAAACAGCTATGTGACCACAACAGCCTTTGACTTCCTCTTCCCTAGACTACATTAACAAAATTTCAGCAATTTCTGATTGTAAGTCAAATTTCTCTGGAGCATTCTGAGCATTCTAGCTCRATACAAAGGAGCCATGGACACCAGAACAGCCATGCCACTTCTGGAACCAAACTGCCACCTCCTCCCTGGGGACTTCACCGCTCAGTTCATCACCCTCCCCACAAAAAGACATTTTCTGCCATCACCCACAGCATTCTCCCCTGGTCACTGCTATCAATCCCCAGCTTCTCATCCAAACCTGCCTGTGAATATGAGCTCTCTTTGGCTCCGTGGAGAGGGGGCCAGTTCAGCTTTAGCAGCTTGCACATCACTTCCAGAGTCAGCAGGAAGGATTTGATGCCTGGCAGGCTCTCAATGCTGCTGGGTTAAGAGCTCATTCCTGCAGGACACCCCCAGGAAAGCCCCTGCGGCCTTGCTCCCTGCTGGGCCTGCTTTGTGAGAGCTGGTAGCAAGTTTTTGTAAAGCTAATTAACATGCACCGCTCTAATTTCACACAATTTTATACAAACAGGATCTTGTGCAATGCTGGAGTCAAATGGCTCAAGGAAATTAACTGCASCAACACTTCAGCACAGCGAGTCCACGCTGCTGGAGATGAGTGGAGTGCTGGGATTTCTGCCTTTAAAAGGAGCTGTCCTCAGGGGGAGCGCATTGCACAGCAATTAGCAACAGTTAATAACTGCACATCGTTAGTTCAGAATGGCCTGGGATGAAATGAGCGGTGCTGGAGCCATTTCCTACCACAGGACGTTGATTTCTTGTCCACCATCTTCACGTGCCGGGTCTGGGTGCGCAGTCGGTCGTCCGTGTTCTCCACCAGATTCGTGAGGTCGTCGATGATTTCTGGGGAAAGAGGAACAGAGGGTTAAAACTGAGTCCCACAGCACCCAYAGCACCCCTGCCCCCCCAGAATGGCAACCAGCTGCATCTCCTGGCCTCCAGTGGCACAGAGCAGCCATGCACCAAAAGGTCCCAATCCTGGGAAATGCCACACAAGATTCAGTGAAATGGTCCACTGCAAGAATGGAGGAGAAAATACAGCCTGGAACAGCAGCATCAGCCTAAGAGGTCAGGGAGTACAGGATAATGGCAGCCACAAAGCTGAGGGGAATTCCTAGCCTGAGCCAGAAGGAGGGAATGAGTGCACATGCAACAGGAAATCTGGAATTTCAGCTCCTGGTATGGAGCATCTCAACACTTGACCATGACATCATCATTAAACCACATACAGCAGCATCATCTTCATATAGGCTTCTGGGAGCACTCAGTGCAGTCCTGACCGAGCCACCACCAAGATCACAGAGTCCTGCCTCAGTTCCCTCCTGGAGCTGTGCGGATGGCAGCTCTCCTGGCAGCCCAGAAGGGCCTCTAGGAAAGGAAAARTGGGCAAAGTTCCCCTACATCGAATTTCAAGAGAAAAAATAGAGGAGAAAGGAAAGCTTCAAGCCAACCCAGCCTCAAGCTCCTATAATTGATGGCTTTAATTCTGTCATGGAAACCAGAGCTCGCACAAGGCTTGCACTGAGAACAGTGGATGGGMTGGCTGAAAAGTCAAAGCCACATTCAGGCTCTGAATTTCCCTCTCACTGCTTGTCATGCTCTGATTTCCCTGGAACACACAGCCAATGCTTCTGAACACTCCACGTGTGGCTGCCCTGGGCTCAGCAGGTAGCAGAGGCTTCCTTTGTGCACCACGGATCAGGAGAGGAGCAGCCAAGCCCTGCACAGCCCCTGGCTCTGCTTCCACTGCCAGCACTGTCCCCACTGGGGATCCCTGGCTCGGGCAGTCCTGCCCGCCTGTCAGCCACCCTTGGGGACAATGACCATACTCTTGGCTCCTCTGTGCCCCAGCAGGTCCTGGCACTGCAGCTCTGCCCTGCTGAAACCCTGGGTTTGATAGAAAGCAACAACGGCACAAGTCAGAGCACACAGCACCCAGTTTTCAAGATAAACTGATATCCTGCTGTATTTATGGATCAGAACCCTGTATGGACACGGGCTGAGGGTCACTTACAGAACACAAGTGCTGTCAGTAGCACAGGACCCTTCTTATTAAGCCTTTATTGTTTGGACTGAATTCCTTCAAACAAGAGACTTCCCAAATGTTTCTACCAGAAAAAAGGGGGCTGATATTGAAGAGGGCATTCCTTGTACTTCCTGTGACACCACAAGGACCCCTTGTCCTGCCAAGGGGAGTGCCAGGGTGTGACTTGAGCTCTGTCACCCCTTTGACACCAGGAACTGAATGGGAACTGAATGTGGTTTTCTGCACATTCACCCTCCTAGCCAATCACAGACTGTCCTGAGCTGGAAGGGACCCCCAGGATCACCCAGTGTCACCCCAGCCCTGCCCAGACCCCCCAACAATCCCCCCCTGTCCATCCCTGGCAGCGCTGCCCAAACGTTCCTGGAGCAGCCTCRGGGCCGGGACCATTCCCTGGGGAGCCTGGGCAGTGCCAGCAYCCTCTGGGGACAGAAGAACCTTTCCCTGAAATCCAACCTGACCCTCCCCTGACACAGCTCCAGCTGTTCCCTCTGATCCCAGATGTTCATTCTGGAGGGTGTTTATGCTTTCAGCCTTATCAAGGAATGAGCAGTGTATCAAATACAGATAAACCCAGCCTGATTGTACACACAGATAACAAAACCCACATAAAATGATCAGAGTTCTGCAGGCACAAAGGAAATGTCCAAGGCACATGGAGCACGGAGGTTTTACTCTCCCAGAGAGCTGAGACATCGAAGCATCACCCTCGCAGGGCATGTTTCAGTCTGCTCCACAAACACTCTGTCATCACCAGTGCATCCCTATGTAAAGTGATAGCAGCATCTAAAAAACCCTGTACTTTGAAAACATACAGCTTTCCTAAACCATGAGCTCCTGATTCATGTCCTGCAGCTCAACCCACCCCGGTACCCACACAAAGGGGCAGAGGGCAAACATTCACCACTTCCCGTGTTTCACCCATCCACCCCACCAGTCCAGTTCTACTCTAGACACAAACCCTCCCTATTTCTAAAGCTGTTTGTAATATTYAAAATGATTCTTCATCAATATTTTTATGCTCAATATTGTCCATCCTCAACCCAAACACATTTTCCTAAGGGGTGGGAGGCATTTCTTTTGAGCTATAAGGTTTGTTCTGTTTGCAGCTCAGATATTCAATCCCCTCACCCTCCCACCCAACTTTCCCAGGTCTGACATCAATATTTTGGGGAAACTTTATCTGTCCTGCGTGATTCAGCACACAGGAAGAGCAGGACAATGCTGCCTGCAAGGGCAGGACTGCTTGTGTTTGCCTCTCCAGGAGAAAAAGTGCTGCAAGTTCCCATCCTTGTCAAGGACAAAGTGATAAGCATGCTTGGGAAATTGGAGACCTTCCTCTGCCAACACTGACCAGACCCTCCTTGAAAAACATCCTGGTGAACAAGCTGGAGCTAAATGAGAACAMATGCAAGCAGGGAAATTTTCTGTCATTGTTTCAAAGCCCAAGGCACTGCAGTTGGGATTCTGTCTAGAGCCTCTCATTTCCCATCCCCATGCCAGGAGACATTTCTGAACCAGAAGCCTGCACTGGACACCCTGGAAGGAGCATTTCTCCACATATGGTTCTCAATAGGATCAGGTTCCAAGGGAGCACAGCACTTCACCCAACACTGCCCAAAGCTCAACAAGCACCCAGCCCTTTGATGTCACAGCTGAGACCTGGAGAATTCTCGAGTGCTCATGGCAGGACCTGGAGGGCTCAGCAGGGTCTGGGGAGGAAGCACAGGGAAGTTCTTACGCCACCCTCAGCTGAACCAGAAATCCAGCCCAGCAGGTTCCCCAGCCCAGGGTGCCCTTCGAACCAGCAACACCCAGCAGAGAAACATCCACCCACCCATCCACCCACCCATCCATCCATCCATCCATCCCTCCCCCATCCCTGTCCATCCATCCACCCATCATCCGCACCCACCACCCCCAGTTGTGGTGACACTCGAGTACAGAGCTGTTCTCAACCTCCCTGTAAATGAAAATATTTCTCCCTGCTCCAAAACAAAGGAAACCCGAGGGGAACCCACACTGGTGGAGACAGAGCTGAAAATCAGGAATGGATTCCCAAGACAGGCACTGACAAAGCTCCCACTGCCAAGGGAGACCTGAGAGCACCTACACTGCCTATAGCTCTCACACTTTCCCTGCCCCACCTGCAGCCCCCTCTGCCCTCCAATTCCACCTTCTATCCCCTGTAGCTGCCTGTGCAAGGAACAGGCTGAAGAGAGGCAGAGAGAGACCTGACAGGAGTGAGGATGCAGGTGCCCTGCTGGGAAGGAGCAGACGGGGAAGGCGGGCTGGCTGCTGGTGACCTTCCAAAGGACATTCCTGTAACACAGCACTGCAAACCACAACCCATCCAGGAGCACAGGCCGAGCCAAGGGCTCCTTCCAGGGAAGCAGAAGACAAAAACTCGATGCCCAAGCCTAGTGATACACTCGGAGCCACTCGAGCATGGCTGAAGGGGGAGAAGTTTGAAGGTCAGAGCTGGGGGTGAGCTCGGCCAGRAGCTGCTCCAGCAGCACTGGAACACCAGTGTCAGAGCTGTCCCCATCCCTGCACACGTGGCCACCAGCCAGGCAGGAGGCTCTGGAGCTGAGCAGGAGCTGAGGCAGCCCCACACTCCCCATGGGTCCCCTCAGGAAGGCAGAGGTGCTGCCAGGTCTCCTCAGCTCCCTCCCGCCAGGCCATGGCAGGGAAGCACCACCTTGTCTCTCACCCTCACCAGAGTGCTTTTCCTGCTGGTCCAGCTGTAAAACCGGGATGAGCCCTCAGCAGGGACAGGACTCCTTCAGGTCAGGTCAGACWGCAAAGCAACGGGGGGATCTGAGGGCAGCACAGACACCTGAAACCAGGACAGAAGCCATGGAAGTCTCCACTGTGGGGACACAGCGTTGCTCTGGCTCCTGCTGCCATGAGGAGGGCAGGGGCAGCCCCTGGGGATGGATTCCACAYGTGGGATTTACACAGAAAACACTGCAAAGCCAGCAGATGACAGGAAAAATGCAGGTTGATATATTCTGAAATATTTGACTTTTCTTTCCGGTTCAGAATCACAGAGCAGCAGTTTTGGATCTCAAACAGCATGTTTTGGACAGTGCAGAGCAGGCTGAGTGTGGGACCAGGTCAGAAGCAGCATCCCTGAGGAAGAGGTGGGAGAGGCTGGAAGTGCAGTTATCTCCCATTCCAAGAGAACTCTGCCTCCCAGGAAGGGGAGAGGTGTTTACTGCAGAACCCTGAGCAAAGGGAGGAGAGGGAGGCAAACCTCCTCCTTTTTTTCTTTTTTTTCCCCAAATCAAACATCAAATAAATTTTGGGTTTGTTTAATAATTTGCATTAAACATATTTTTGCCCATAAAGACAAATACAAAGATCTCTTGACCAGATCTGAACTTGTCGCTGCATCAGCTGTCACAAGCAGGAAATTACAGCTTTTAAGCCACAGATGAATACCAAGAGCTTAAAAATCCCKAAACATTGACTTCTTCCTGGGTCCTAGCAAGCTGAAGCACTGCCAGTGCCTGCAGTCAGATTTCAAAGACTCAGAAATACAAGACTGACCCAGACCAAGGTATGGCTGCTCAGAGATGTGAGCACAGAACTGTTCAGTGTTCCTTTTCAAAGGGAAAGGGAAGTTGGAGCAGCTGCTCTGAGCCCTGGATCTGAGCACATTCCAGGCTGTTCCACTGCGCTTGGCTTCACACTCCCAAAGGATGCATTAAAGGCTGGGAGAGCTGGGGGTGCTCACCTGGAGAAGAGAAAGGTCCAGGGAGABCTCAGAGCCCCTGCAGGGCCTGAAGGGGCT